TTTTGACTGAGTCAGTGGCTCAAAGATAGGAAACTCAGCGAAGGTTTGTGTGTGTGTGTGTGTGTGTGTGTGTATGTGTGTATGTTTTCTTTCTTTGGAGATACAGTGTAGGACAGTTGATTTTGCTGCTCAATCTATATATTGTTAAATCTTACAAAATGTGATGACCTTCCTTTCCAAGAAAATCCACATAAAGCTTTTCATATCCAGGAACTAAGTTCTCGCCACTTGAAAGAATGGAAAGAGTCTACCAATTTATAAATGTATTAATTGAAAGAAATAATCTTCCAAATGTATTTATCTGGATATATCTTTCAAAAAACCTGAACCTATATACATGGTTATCCCCATCTGTTTGACCCTTGTAACAGCCTTTGTAGTCTGTCAGACTGAGAGATAAGAGATAAGAATTGGGCCAAGGACACCAGTCTCCAAAGTCTGAAAAACAGACAAAGTGTGAACGGCTATACTGAGAATGAGGGCACTTTTGCACTGCTGCCTGCCTTTTGTGCAAGCATTTTCATTTGCCTTTTGGTAGCAACTTAAAATGAAGCTGGTTTTTTAAAAAAAACACTGTCCGTATTTCAAGCTTTGACAATGAACCTGGGCAGGTGTTCTGTCTGGACAGCATGTATCACGGTGCTGAATTTGTGGGTTCCAGTTTCTTGGCCCTTTGCTCTGAGGCTGACGCTCTGACCATTCATTTCCTTTTCTGTGGGAGGTTCTTTGTGGTGATGTAGTTTCCATCTACATGGGCAAAGAACATCCAGGGGTCATAGGATCATGCAATGGAAGGGACCTTAGAAATCATCTTGTCCAATCTCTGCTCAGTGCAGCAGTTGCTTGCTCACAATGAATATATAATTGATCCACTGATGGACTGGACTTTCATTGTTCTTTCAGTCATTTGAGCTACAAGGGGAAACTGGCAAACTTGTGAAATCAAAATTTCTTGTGAATCTAGATTTCAAAACTGAACCACCATTCAACATTTAATTGATTTAACATATTTATTTATTTATTTAAATTTATTGGCTGCCCAACTCGAGTGGACTGTGGGTGGCATACAAAACTAGAAAAAAATCACTTCCTAATTCTATACCAATTTGTGAATATATTTCATCAGCTCTTGATTTCTATTATGTGCTTGTCAGTATCAAGTGATGGCTGTTCCTGCTAACCAACTATCAGATTTATTAAATTGATGCTGCAGGTCAGCAGTCAATAAAAATTGTAATCTATTCTTAACAGCTCTGACCGCTGTGTAATTAGTATTCTGACTTCTCAAATGAATATAGATTTGTAGCCTAAGCATAGTGCATATATATGCCCCATTAAAATCATCAGCTGTTATGTGCATTACATTTCATACAGTATTATAGATAATTATTCCAGTAATTATCCAAGGTTTTCAGCTCTGAGGGTGATGAAAGAAACATTACTTTGTATGAAAATTACTTCTTGGTATTAAATCCAGACCATTATCTTCATTCTATTTTCGGTCCACATGGTTCACTAGTCAGTCACTTTCATACAGTAACACAAAAGCAGACAGAGACTCCATTTAATAGTTCAGCAGGTCCTGGAACAATTCAAACAATCTATTTTGCATTATGGGCCAAAATCAAGGATTTAAATAACAAAATGTCAGGATAGTTAAGCAAAAGAAAACATATTTCTTAAAATATGACTCTTGTAATGGTTTTTGTGATAGCTGTTGAACAGCATTTCCTTATCTATAGCTGTTAATCCTCAGCTTTTTTATCATGCCATTCTCATGAATGTTTGTCTAGTATAGGCAGTGGCTGTGCACAGTTACTTGAGGATAAATCCCATTAACTGCACTAGAACACAGAATGCTTCCAGAAAAGGCATTCATCATCCAGTCACTCCAGTTATTATTACAGTTTTAGGGGATCTTGTATAGTCATTGGCTATGTTCTCCCATCACTAATTCTATCTCTTTTTAAAATTGTCCACAAAAAATCAATTAGATTTTTTTTTTTAATTGGTAGGGCTAGGAGCCCTACATATGGAAGCATCCCATTTGCCAAGACTTGCAAAAAACCTCTAATTTATCAGGTTATCTTGCTGAACATGCATTTGCAATAATACATCATTTGCCAAAAACCATGTAGCAACATCATCTTTAAAAACTATAGAACTTCATATTTGCATTCAACAAGATCTGCTAATACTTGAATTAAATGTAACTATGCAAGTGTAGAATGATACAGAATCATGGACACATACATACAAGATGTTTTTTATATCTTTCATTAAATTTTGACTAGACAGAAGAAAACCACAAATATCAAATTAAAAATGTTGCCAATAATATAATTACTAATAATACATTAGCTTTCAGATCTCTTTTAGAGTTTGCAGGACTGTACCTTTTCTGTTTATATCCAGTAGGGATTCTTGTCTGATGTAGGACACTTTAAGTGGGATAAACACAGTTCAGTTGGTTGCTGGAGCTCCAAGCCTTCCAGTCTGGGATTAGCCGGCTAGCTGAAGGATCCCAAAAAACCTGAAAGAAGTAGAGTGGAGGGTCTTCCAGCTTCTGCGTGATGTATGACATGCCCCAGCAGCTGTCAGCCTCCTAGAGAGTCATCATCATGAATCAGGATATAAACGTGGTCCCAAGAAAGCTTTATTGTAAGCAGTGACTTGGCTCCAGCCAAGCACTTCCTCTGGCTCTCAGCCTCTCTATTTTTAATGAAGGAATTCAGGGCTATCGCAAAGGAAGTCAAATTGTTTTCGGAAAACAATAGCAAAGTAACTAAATGTTTATTAGTTTCCTCCCTTGTGGTCTGGAATGGACTTGTCAATTGGACTAAAGTGATGGATGGACTATTTATTTTAAAAAACAAATTCACAGGGCTCACATGCCCAATCTTGTTTATACCTTTAAAAAAACTGGAATCTAAGCCAACCAGCAGTTCAGCAGTGCAAGTAAGATGTTAGTGGCAATATAGTTGTGGTATTTGTTAGAGTATATGGCTGTGATATGATTTCCTCTAAAGCTAAATGTTTAAATGCCCTTATTGGTCACTTCTCCACAGTGTTTTCCCAGTTAAGTGATTCCATATTAACTTTGTTTTAAAAGTGAAAGAAAGTCTTCCCAATCCATTCAGAGAAAACAGTAACCTACTGCTGTGCCTCTTTGAGCACAATCCACATTTGCTTGCACAAACTTCACTGAAATTTATGGAAACTATCTACAAGAATGTTCATAAATTGCTTTTAGATTATAAGTGAAAATGTTGGGAAGAATGTCCCAGAGGACTGAGCCCTTGATGTATATTTTATCAGTATTTCTTAAAATAAAAGTTCATCGCTTTTTTATCTTAAACTTATTAAGCATTTTTCCATATATGACAAGTAGTTTTCACTCTTAAGAATAACTCAAAGTAAAATAGTATGATGGCTGAGTATTATCTCCTCTATTTAATCATCTATAGCTGGAAATAGAGTGTTGAAAGTGTTAGAACAGAGAGGTCTTTTCTTATGATGTGTTGAGCTGCCCTGCTATCATTTCCAGTAATCAGGCTTTTGCAAGTTTCTGATATTGTCAGAAAAGCCAGATACAGTAGTGGGCAAAATAAAAGGTTATGTGTGCATAAAGAGCAAACAGTGATACTCTAACTTTTCACTTTCAGCTCTTGAAAGAAAAGGGAAGGAAGGAAGGAAGGAAGGAAGGAAGGAAGGAAGGAAGGAAGGAAGGAAGGAAGGAAGGAAGGAAGGAAGGAAGGAAGGATCTTCAGCTAAGACTTCATAGTAGCTTTGAAACATGATATTTCAAGTTTTAATCCAGTGTTGCATACCAGTTAGAAACTGATAGCTTACAAATAGTAGAAGAGTTTAGAAATGTAAGAGACAAGATCTCTTATAGGCACATTATGGTGCACATAGGCATGGATGGAGAATAGAGTAGGACAGAGTATTTTCCCTAAACAGTCAATAAATTTAAGCACATGAGAAGATCCTTGATGGGTCAAAACAAAGGCTTATTTAAGCTGTTTCCCATTGGACCCACAAGATGCCTATAGGAGTAACACCCTTCCACTTGTGCATCCCAGCAACTGGTTTGGAGTCATATTCCCTCTAATAGTGGAGGCAGCCTGTTTGCAATCAAAACAGTTGTGTGATGGTTGAGATGATGTGGGAGCAACCAGTATCATATGTTTATGGATGATGAATTAGTCAATTTCAGTTTCTTCTTTTTTAGCAAAGAAGACTGGTTAATCTAACTCAAGAACTTCTTTTTGAAGTTCAGGAAGAATTTTGGTGCACATTTCTCTAGATATATGGATTTTTGTTTCCAATTTTTGCCTAACTTTCCTAGTTTTTCAAGAACATTCTCCATAATTATTTTAACATTATTTAATGAATTTCTCATTTTCCCTTAGACTTTCCCATAATATAGGGGTTTTTTTTTATGTAAACTGTCTTGCAAAATTTGGAAAAATCCAAATGTTGAATGATTAACAACTTTGGTTGATGTAAAATGACTGATTTGTCCCCATCTCAGCTTGAGACCTTCACTTTCAAACATCTCTGGTAAGAAATTTTAAGCTTTTTGAAAATATGTTGCAGTACAGAAGTATCGGTTTACTTTGTTAAGAGACCTCCCCAAAGTTGGTGCCTTTGTAGGCTTTGTTTTGTAGGCTGTGCTCCTCATCATCAATATTCCTTAAGATTAACCATACCAGTAAGGATTATAGTCCTCATATCTGAACGGTACAGGTTGCAGAAGGCCAGAAATTAGCTACACATTCTATAATGAGTGGTGCTAGAAAATTACAAAGAAGTTAAAGAATCTGTCTGAACTTGGTGGGATGATGCCCAACATGGAAGATGTACTTTTTATTATTCATGTATTAATAGAGTCAGAAGTGGCTTACTTATTTATAAAAATTAATATAAAATTAAATATTTCAACCAAAAAACAAAGATAAGGCAAAAAAGTTACCAAAAAAAATTTTTTTTTTCAGGAAAAGCAGGCAATTAAAATGTATACTATCTGCAAAATGAACACCTTCCTAAATAGAAGGATCTTAACCACAAGTGCAGATCCCAGAGGTTGTTAGTCTGGCTTCCCAAAATAGATATTTCTGCAGCATAGATATAGCCACTGAAATATATCCAATATTCTTTTTTTAGGCTACTGCATTACACTTGATTGGAAAACCTCCCTTGTAGAAGATGTTTGCTTTTTTTTTTCCTAGAGAAGGAACTTGTCTTCCTGTAAAAAATAACTCTATCAAAATATGGATTTGTGGATGACAGTGGCTTTTCACCAGCAAGTCTCCAGTTTGTGTAAAGTGTTGTCTGTTTGTAAGCAACCTGGCATCAACTTTAACAGCAGAATGGTTATGCCAAAATGCTTTGTTTCCACTTTTCTTTTTTTCTTTTACTAATCAGTAAAATTACTTCTAATCAGAATATGTTAGGAGAGGCATGAAAACTGCTATTTTAGTACAGCTGCTTGCTGAGAAACTGGCTGCACATTGGAAGACTAAACATTACAGTGCTGGCATCTAGAGAATTTTGTGTTGGAGTCTTCTTTGAGAGTCCACATTCCTGCCTGCCTATTTTGCTACACAAAATAATTCCATTCTCTTCTCTCTCACAGTAGGGCCAGAAACATTAATGACCCTTATTAGCTTAATAGAATTCTGGTTAATGATGGGAGAACATTAGAAGAGAATGGTGAGGGGGTAACTTTCTGCTTCCATAAAGTCATTCTTGGTGCCATTTTGTTTGCATGCAGATTGTCTCATGAGAGTGATGGCATTATTTGTTTCCATCTTAGAGCTGGTAATAGCTTCTGGCAACCTTAGACAGCCTCCTCTTGACTGCCCCCTCCTCATAACTTTTCCTCCCTGACCCAACACTAAACAGCTGAATCTCCTTTCATCTTAATTCCCATAATACCCTTGAAGTAGCATCACTTTGAAGGATTATGGGAAATTAAAATGGGTCAGCCAATTACTACTGCTGCTGGCACTGCGAATTCACTCTTCTGTCACTAATACACTTCTCCAGCTAGAGCTCAACTGCATTTCAGTTGAGGCTTGATTACAACTCTGCTGGCCAAAGTAATGATTGAAACAAGTTTTTTGGGGGAGGGGGTGATTTCCTAGTCCAGCTAGTTTTGACAGATAGATACCAGTTTCCTTGGAAAAAAAAAAAAAGGATGATCTGGCTCACTATGGGCTCAGGTACAGTTTGTGTCTATGCTAGCCTGGATGAAACCTGGCGAGAGCTCACACAAAGAATTTTAAATCCTGATTTACAAAGAGAACCCACACTTCACATCTCTGCTATAAGGAGCTTGTGCACCCTCCCTTCACTATTCCCAAATACAGTATTTGTATCATATCAATAGTTGCATCTCATAGCAGAGCCTTTACATTGGAATATTTGGATACTCTTCCCTCAGTGGTATGTTGGATAGATGCAGTGGTATTCCTCCTCAAGAGTATTTATGCATCTGTTCAGACTCTGAAATTGAAACAGTAGCATATGTACTTCTGAATTGCCCTGTTGGCCATCAGTGGAGGGTGGAGTTAATCTTCCTCCTATTGCAAAACATCCAGATCAATCTCACATGGCAATCGTGTACTGTCTACTAAACAACCAGGATAGGGAAGTCTCTAAGAATTGTAGCCAAATGTTGTGATATAGCAATGACAATTCAAACTTTTTGGATTTGAATGCTCTCCCAGGTATACTTGAGACAGTTGAGACATAAATAGGTTTTTAATGAACACCAGTATTGTGATTTTTTTTTTTGTTTCCACTTTTGTTTTAATTTGGTGTGTTTGGTCTATGGCTGTACATTTTAATAAACTAAACTATACTAAATTTCTGCTGGCAGACACCACTATTACCGAAGTTTACTACATTCAGAAAAAGGGTCCAGTGCTTTTTGTTCTCAGATATGGAGCCAGCCATACCATCTTTGGTATGGAGAACCGGTCTGGTGTAGAGATTAAGGCATCAGGCTAGAAACCAGGAGACTGTGAGTTCTAGTCCTGCCTTAGGTATAAAACCAGCTGGGTGACCTTGGGTGAGTCACTCGTTCTCAGCCCTAAGAAGGCAATGGCAAACCACTTCTGAAATCTTACCAAGAAAACTGCAGGGACTAGTCCAGACAGTCTCCAGCAATCAAAACCTGACTTGAAAGCATGTGGACACACACACACACACACACACACACACACACACAGTATCTTTACCTTTGCATTTCTGTAATTAAAAGCATTTTTCCCCTTTGGGCAAATGTGATGTCCATGTGACCTAATGTTCTCAAAAGAGCAAATTAATTTTACAGGTACTTCAGGTTCTATATATGTAAAA